GGGGGGGGGGGGTCAGTGCTTCGATGGAATGGGCCAAGCGAACGAGGAAGCGTGCTGAGCTCAGTGAATGTTTGTGTGTGCGTGTAGGGGGCGGTTTGGGGGGGGAGGGGGCTGGAACCCTGACAAAGGCTTAAGTGCTGTTTTTCCACTGCACGGCTCCAACAGGAAGCCCTCTGCAGAGGAGCCGTTGCGCGTCTGGCTGCCTGACAGTCCCAGTGTTGTTCCAGTCCCAGTCGGCCAGACGGTGCCGACGCGCTCGTCCCACATAAACACCACCACGCGATGAGGACCTGCCCGCTGGCTCACGTGTCCGATTGTTGTTTTTTTTTCTTCTTCCATTGCTTATTCCATCAAAACACAATACCTGTCCTCGTACAGCAAGCTCACAGAGTCAAAAGGTGTTTTGTCAAGAAAACAAAATAACTTGCCCTCATTGACGTAAAGAGCAGCTTTTTTGTCCCTCCCGGCTTTCCGTTCTGATCGCTCTGCAGTTCCTTATTACCACCCCCCCCTCCCCATACAAACACACACACACAGCCCAAGGTAAGGCTCAGGGTTTGTAGGGACATATTGCAGGTCCCTGTTGGTGGAAAGTGAGCCATCCGTGTTTGGTTCTCTGTCATCCGAAGGGCCCCTGCATTCAGTCTCCGCTCATGGGAATCCCAGCTGCCTGGAACCTGTGTCAGGTCCCTGGCCGGGAACCCCATCTGACACTCTCTCTACAGCTGGTGGACACCCACCCTCCCTGAAACGGAGGCCGTCCTCAGCCCACAGAGACACGGCCCTGACCTAGACACGACCCTGACCTAGACACGGCCCTGACCAAGACACGGCACTGACCTAGACCCCCCCCAATTCATTCTGAAGGATCATATAATCCTCCCTGCAAATGAAGTCACAAGGTAGTTGTGTCTCACTCAACCATGTTCCTCTCTGCTTGTGCGGGAAAAACCGCTGAGAGTTTTTTTACACCGCAGTTGTTCTCAGGGTACGTGGTCGTCGTGGGGGGGGGGGGGGGTTATAAAGTTGGAAATGGTAGCCACCACACCTTTTGTTGTTCGTATGGAAACCCAAACTGGAGAATTGCAACAGTCGGGTTATTGCTCAAAGACGTGGAGGCCCTTACGTATCCTGGTTGCATAAAAGAGGCAAAAATGAGTGTGTGACGGCAGCCTTGCGGCGAGTGGGATGATACAGTTGGCGACACCCTGGGCCGCCGGGCCCTGCTGAGTCACGTGAGGCTCCCCACCCGCTCGCGTGCCACCCGGTGGACATGTAAAGACGCCACGTTCGTCGGCAACACTTATGGCGCAAGCAGGAAGTAATTCACATGGGCGTCATGGGTGACGGCTTTCATTGACTGGCGTTATCTGCTTTTCATTGTCTTGAATAGTTAAATTAAGGAAAAATAAAGAGGAAGATCAATAAAATGTTAGTTTTATTAGCATATTAATTGTCATTGTTGACGCACCACAGCAACGAAATGTGTTCTCTGCAATCAACCCATATTTGACAATGTGACATAGCAGGGGGCAGCTAATTCAGCGCCCGGGGAGCAGTGCTTGGGGGCGGTACCTTGCTCAGGGTACCTCAGTGGTGCCTTGCTGGTCGGGGATTCGAACCTGCAATCTTTCAGTTACGAGTGCGCGTCCCAAACCATTAAGACACCACTGCCCACATATTAGTATATTTGCTTGTTGATATTTTTAGGTATTGTGCCCTAAAAGAGGCCCCATATGACACTGTACTCAATAAATGTTGATTGATTGGATGGATGGATGGATGGATGGATGGGGGAAATGAGTTTTATTAAGTTTATTTAACATGTCTTGCTTTTTGAGTATCTTTAATATGCCTTATGACTGCAGAGTCCGCAGTCTCCTTAAAGGCGGCACATTTCTCACTGAACATGGAAAGAAAACCACCCTGCTTTTACTCTGTGTGTGTGTGTGTGTGTGTGTGTGTGGGGACCAAATGTCCCCACAACATGATAAATACAAATTTTTTTTTACCTTATAGGGACCTCTGCAATCAAAAAACTAAAAATGCCAAAACTCTTGTATTTTGTTGGGTTACTGATGGTTAAGGTTAGGGCTGGGTAGGGGTTAAGGTCGTCATGGTTAGCATTAGCGTTTTCCCCATAGAAATGAACGAGCGGTCCCCACAAAGATATGATTCCAGGGCTGTGTGTGTGCGTGCGTGTGTATGAGTGTGTCAGTGCACATGTGAGAGTCACTGAAAAAGAATCTGGCAGTCAGGACCAGCGAGAGGCGTCCCTCCATATCGCCTGGCCGTACGGAATCTGCAACTGGGGCTGCCACCATTGCTGCAGCTGGCTTTTCTTTTTTTTTTGCCTGTGATTTTATTAAACACTTAAGTTAATGGCAGCATATAGTATCTAATGACCTTTTAGCACAGAAAGCACAGTTTAGCTGTTGTTTAAAGCAGGAAGCCTGTGATTTTGGCCTCTTCCTAATGGGTCCCAAAACGCAGAACCCTCCTCATTGTACTTTCTTTTCCGGGTCTCTTCGCATGCTGCGCGTGGGGGGAGCTTTAGACCCCGAGCGCTGCTTTAACGATGGTGGCCTCTTTATTATTTATTTATAAAAAAATTTATTTGACTGTGTTGAGAGAAATGCAGGCTAGCTGGAATTTCACGCTCAGCTCAGTGACGGGTTAGAACCTGGGTGTGTACTGGGGGAGGAGGGAGGATCTGATAGGACCTGACAAAACAGAAATAAGACCGTTGGTTATTTCAGCTGAATCCTTTTTCAGTTAATTAATCTAACCAGTAATCACACCCCCCCCCCCCCCCACGCACACACCCACACCCACGCTTTGGGGAGGAGACAACTGTGGGCATAACAGGGTAAACGAGTGAAAGACGACAGAATCGCAACAGGTTGCCTTCTGTGTGGCTAACCCTAAACTCCCACAATCCCCCTCATGACGAGGCCCACTGGGTGCCAGTCCGCCTGCCCCCCCGTCCCCACCCCAGCCACCCACGCATGCAGGAATTTCATTGGGATTTAAATAACACACCATCTCTAATTCCCTCAGCTACAGGCGCGCTCAGCCACGGCCCATCTTTCCCAGCGCTGTTCAGACGCTTGTATTTCACACCGCATGCCTGTCACTGGCATATAAACCTTGGCTTCTGGCCAATCCCTGTTCATAAGGTAGATGGTACACACCATTGCAATGTCCCCCCACTACCTTCTACAAGGCCCCAAGCTCATTCTCCTGGTTTAATGAAAATGTGCTTGCTCAGTCCCTGCTGCTTGATTGATCACAGGCCAGTATTGTGTAATAGTAGGTTGATGTGGCACAGACTTCCAGAGATGATGCCCCTGTGTAGGGGGCCAATGACAGAAGAGGAAGCTGATTGGTGATGATGCACCTGTGTAGGGGGCCAATGACAGAAGAGGAGGCTGATTGGTGATGATGCACCTGTGTAGGGGGCCAATGACAGAAGAGGAGGCTGATTGGTTATGATGCCCCTGTGTAAGGGGCCAATGACAGAAGAGGAGGCTGATTGGTGATGATGCCCCTGTGTTGGTTATTTATTTTCGTATTGTATTTGTTTCCATTTGAAGCACTTGATAAACAATAATAGGGCACTCTGTTGTCTCCGAGCTTCTCAAACGAGCTTCTTGTTTCAGACCCACATTGGGACTTTGCTGTCCACCCAAAACCATCCATCCATATTGACATTGGGTTGGGCAGGGAGGGGGTAGTGGTTGCTCGAGCTGCGAAAACGCCTGGCAGTGAAAGCATCCTTTGAGAAATGAATCTAGCTCGGAGATCGGAAGATTGACCCTTGTTCTGTCCCTGCCCCTCTTCTCTCTCTCCCACACAGCCATGTAGATAAAATCACCACATGGCAGGACCCCCGTAAGACCATGACGGCTGCCATGCACCAGATGAGCCTCCATGGTCAGACACCTGCAAACCCCAACCCTGGAGTGGCCCAGCAACGCTCCATGGCCCTATCGCAGCCCAACCTCGGTAAGTACCTCCACCTAGACCCTAGGGGGAGCTCTCATTCTTCCTAAGGATACAGAAAAGAATCATTTGTCTGTAGCATTCCTGTGCGGGAGACGATAAAACTTTTTGTTTGGGGTGAGAATACTACTTCTGTTCCGAGATAACTGCCTAGCTGTGATAGATGCGCATCATTGTTCCCGTCAACCTGCTCTATGCAGACGATTACCGCTGCTCTAAGGGACGGCAGGTGATGACCTGGCCTCGTCTACTTATAAAAATTGAAAAATAAAATCCTGCTCCACAGGTTCAAGTTGCACACTTATTCCCATTTGCCAAGCTTATAAGGAAGTATTTTACTTGTGAGCGAAACGTCGCAGGTTTAAATAGCAGGAGTGGCTTTCGGCTAGGGATCGACCTGAATCATTACAGCTACGATCTTTTCTAGACAGAGGGAAGCTGGGATCTCCTGGATTTTTCTTTCTGATGGATGCAACAAATACCAGTTTGACGGCTTGTTCTCCGTTAGGACCTGTTCTGATGTAGCTGCGGACAGATGCTTGTCCCATCAGACTGGCCTCTGTGCAGACAGAGAGGTGTTTTTGGTGGAAGATCAGCCTCTGCTGCCTCTGTTGTTTGGCTGTTGGCTGACCTTTCAGTTCACTTTGAGGCCCTGTGGCATTTCTTGGTGGCCCTGGGTGTACAAGGGTGCCTTTAAGTAATGAGGTGACCTAGAATTGACATGATTACTCAACTAAACTCGATATGTTGATTTTTAAAAGGCATTGAATAAAATTAGCTTTCTTGATTATTTGCTAATGGAGCAAGGAGGACGGGGCATAGGGGAAATGGGTCCAAATAAAGAGTGAAATCCCCACTAATGTGGAAGCACTTCACACTAAACGTGAATAAAAACGCAGCCGTCTGCCAGTCAGACCGTGACGGAGGTCGGCATTCCTGGAGATGCAAATCACTTTGCTGAGAGCGGGCACTGATTCGAAAGGGGTACTGGCGAGAGGATCGACAGTAGAGTAAGACGCTCGGCACGCACGTCTGCGGAGATTCAGGCGTTTGCGTGAGGCTCCAATGCGTGCAGCTCCCTCCCGGCTCCAATGGGAGCGGACCGAGTGAAAGGCCTTGGCCGCTGGCGGGTTGAACCTGTTCACCTCACGCCTTCGATTCGCCGCCCCTGCGGATTGCCTCACCTCGGCAGGCGAGCCCGAGCGAAGGTTTCCTGCCTCCGTACAGCGCCGGCTGTTTGTTCTCCCGGCGGCCGGCACAGCAAATCAGTACCAAATGCGCCCTGGCCGCTCGTCATGACGAAATGGAAAAGAGGTGTGTCACCACACTGCTGCCAGTGAGGAGTGCCTTCCTGTGCTGTGTCAAAAACAGCTGAAGGACAAACAGATGTTTTTGGAAGCCAGTGGGGGGGGGGGAGATTTCCTGTGTGCCATAAGCGTGTGTGTGTGTGTGTGTGGGGTGGGGGGGGGTGGTTCATCATGGTAGGACAGGGCAGGCAGGCAGCTGGGGCCGCTGGGATTTCCGCCAGACTCGATGGACACTCTCACAGGGCCGGTAATTCTAGCTTTGGCTTTCCCATGGGCTGGGACTAACCCTTTAGCTGATTCTGATAGAATCCATTATTATAAGAATGGATCCACATGAAGGTGTTCATGTTTGAGGATGACATCAGAACCACAGCTGTGTTAATAGGCGAATAGGTTACCTCTCACTTCTTAAATAATATTGAAAAATTACTCATTTCATCTGACCTGCAACCCATGTTTATGCCAAAACCCCAGTTTATTATATCCAACCATGTTCTGATCCAAATCAGAATCAGAAAGATCTTTATCGGCCAAATATATGTAACATACAAAGTATTTGTCTTGTTGGGTATGCTCCAGTAGAACGTATGACACGCATTACAGTTTTAAGACAATTCAGAAGTATGTACACATTCACTTTTACCCATACTAAACTACTATACCATATAAATTTAAGCTATACTTTTTACACTAGACTGTGTTCTGCCAGTCAGAATCAACAGGGGGTGTTATATAGGGTGAGAGAGAGAATGTAAGATGTTCTGATGGACAGTATCCCTCCGGAGGACCTAGGTTTCACATTTCCTTGCATAACTCCTGCCACCTTGGTTTAAAAGGCTTCTTCTTACTGGACGTGCAGAGCTTGCCGGTTAGTGTGTATAATCCAGCAGTGCAGCCTTTATGAATCAAATGAGATGTTTGTGAGACTAAGAACAATCCCTGCTTAAGGGTGCAGTCACAGACGAACATGACCTCAGGACATATTCACATATGACCATCAAAACATTAAGTCACTCTTTGTTTGAGGTATACGATACGTGGTCACGTGACATCAGGTAGACCAACAGGAACGAACATGTCACGCTATGTTCCATCGGCCCTCTAACATGAGCTGAAAGGGTCAGAAAGCTCTTCACACACGTCGAGACTGATAACCCAAACCATACCTCAACACGGGGGCTGCACCAAAAACGAATCCAAAAAACATCCACCAACAAACCATGTTCGCATCAAATTTTGGGGCTCTTAAGAATGTCAGCGTCAGCCTTGGTCTTCAAAGCATGTTTACGTCACCAGTATTCCAGTATTGGGAAAGACTCCCACCTGGGGAGTCTTTCCCAAAAGCAAAATTGCTCCAGGCCGATTCACACCAAACTCAAGCCCCCACTAGCTGCAGCTTGGTCCCACGGCGACGCCACCCTGCTCCCCCCATCAGTGTCAGCAGGATCCCACAGACCTCTTGAACCCACATCCCATTCACATATACAGTATTGCACCAGCTGGCACCTTGGTCATATCAACCTTGGGGCACATCCCTCTATACAACTGGCGTAAAACAGTGGTGGGAGAGACTGGGCAGGGAGGCTTGCGATGGATATGGACCGCAGGGTTCTGGGATTTAGGAGGAGACATACCCAGGCCCCTGGGGGTCAGTGGCTCCGTCCTGCACAGCACTCTGATGACTCAGCAGGGAGAATTAATCTGCTGGCTGCCTTCTGGCATTCGGCTTAGTTCACTGCCAGCAGAAACAATCTCCTGCTCTCATCCTCTGACCAATTCATCTGCGTGCATCTACAGGTTTCGCAAACTTTTACAGTTCCTGTGAATTTTGCGAGCAGGCGATGAAGGCGGCAATAAAACAGATGGGATGATGGTTCCTGCAGAGCACTTTGTCGAAGAAAAAAAAGCTGAAAGTGTGTACAGCATGAGCAAGAATGAATCGAATATGTGTGAGATCACCCGCCCTGTCAGCTGGACCTTAATATCCGCCTTCATACACCTGTTTCTTCATATTTCACTGTTTTATCTTTCCTTCTGTTGGTTAACCCCAGGAGCCCCCTGTAAATCATACCCAGAACAGTCCTGATACAAGGATTTCTGTTTGATTGAGGTTCATTATTTTCCATTATTGTGTTGATTTAATACGGCAACTTTTTGCCGCCGTCAAACAAGGTAGATTCTGAAAAATAACCGCAAATCGTCCCAAACTGTCAGGCGGCTCTCACCAGTGTCCTGGTTAGTGCAGTGGCCCACCAGCTCTGTGGCACACCCAAGGCCTGTCTGGGCTGCCCAAGGCCTGCCTGGGCTGCCCAAGGCCTGCCTGGGCTGCCCAAGGCCTGCCTTACACCTTGCCTTTTCCCGCTTCCCCTCCCCCGGGCCCCCAGTTGTCCCAGATTCTCCAGCATTTCCAGGCCTCTGGAGCCGCGGGTTGGGAGACGCCCCCCCAGACTGGCCCTGTGCGTGAGAAGTCTGGGCGCGCAGCTCACCCAGAGATAGCTTGTGGGCTGTTCTTGGCTGTCCCCCTCCCCCGGTTGAGGGAAGCGTTGTTGTGAGTGGGTTTTGCTGTCGGCCTTTTAATGCACAACAGATTTTGGCGGCGGCGAAGGCCTTTCTGTTACCGTATTGGGTGGCTGACGCTGTTTTCAGGGACATAAATAACAATCAGGTTTTTGTTGGCAAAGCCGCTGCAGTTAAACCCTCTGCTTTTGGCCGTCCCTTTTGCACTCTCCCTTTCGTGCCCCCCCCCTCCTCACTGTCCTCCCTATCTGCTCCCTAGCTGCCCCCTCCCCTCCTCCCCCAGTTTATTCTCCCTCCATGTCGTGACTAAGCCCGGGCGAGGGAACGCTGGACCGCACTCTGCCGGTTTGGTGAACATGTGTTTCTTATCACGGGGACCTGGGTGACAACCCGCCCAGGCTGGGGGGGGCTGGGGGGGGGGGGGGCAGAGACGGACCTAACCTCGCACGGAGCCAGCTGGGCCGCCTGCCCTCTCTGGGGTAAAATAATCATAACTTTACTGCGTGGGGGTTTGGTTGCGGGGGGGTGTGTAAGGGGAGAGCATGTTGTCCACCTGCACGAGGGGGGAACATGTGACCCCTCTGTGGGGGCGGAGGGAGGGTGTCTTGGAGGCTGGATGTGAAGGCAGTTGAATCTGTTCCTTTATCGTCCTTGTCGTAAATCATGAGGAGCGATCGCTTACCATTGAAGATACAAAACAAATGTATTTGCCAGGCCGTCAATGTAAATAAAAATTGTTGTTAGTGACTTGCCTCGAAAAATAAAAGTTAAATAAAAAAATAATAAAAAAAAAATTGTAATGCTCATGTTACACAGATTTTTTGTCCTGGGCAGTATTCTTAACAATTTTTTTTAATAACCGATTTAATAACTCTTCTCTGAATTCAGCATGATTGAAGGGGTCCAGTAAAGAGACGGATCGTTTTAAAGAGCAGGGTAACAAAGCAGGATTTCCCAGTTAGCTGGATAATGTGAAAACTGTCCAATGGGAAGAGAGATAAGTGACACTCCTGTTGGACAATCCTTACATTTGGCTTAAGTTATCTGGCTAATGAAGAAATCCTGCTTTGTGGAATACCCTCCAGAACCCTGGAGGTGTAAATGTGGGAATGCTCACATGCATGCGTATAGATCTGCGCAGGCGCATGCAGACACATACATGCAGGCTCCTGGAGGCGGGTGAGAGGGACGTCGAGCAGCGGTTGTGACTAAACGACTTCGCTGCTTTGATGAAGACTTTCATCAAATAGCCAAAGACTCTAGACTAGAGGAAGCTGCAGCAGAACATGCGTGACCATGTGTCACGGTATTGATGCTCTAAATGCCGACTACCACTTACTGCGTTCCAGGACCGGAACCTTGATGGATTGATGGATTTGACCTTATCCAAGGAGCTCCACGGCAGATATGCATATTTGTGAAGCTGAAACTCTATCCTGCACCTTTGCTTTAATCCACAGTGATGTCCCACCATCACCAGCAGCACCAGCATCAACATCAGCACCAGCACCAGCAGCAACACCAGCACCAGCACCAGCAAGCTCAAGCCCAAGCCCAAGCCCAAGCCCAGACTTTGGCCTCCAGCAGCCCAGTTTCCCCACAGAGCATCCAGCAGCAGAATGCCCAGGTTGGGCTCATCAATCTCCCTAACCCTCTGACCACCCAGCAGCAGCACCAGCAGAAGATGAGGCTGCAGCGGATCCAGTTGGAGCGCAAGCGTATACGGATGAGACAGGAAGAGCTCATGAGACAGGTAGCTTATCCGCCGTATAGGCCACTAACCAATCAGTTGAAAGGCTGATGAGACATATAGCCAATCCAAGGCGAGAGCTGTTGATGAGGTGCCGATGAAGCAATGGCACAGCCTGTATTGTGTGATTGCTCTTCACAATGGCTCTGCCATCGGTTTCCTCTCCTGCCCAGTGGAGATAACACATAGACAGCGGGCCTTTGTATCAGGAGTGTACAGTTTATCACCCGGGTACAGGAAATGGGGGGTGGGACATGAACACATGACACGGAAACACACAGACACGTCCATTAGAAATTACCCAGTTCATTTTCCAAAACAGTGATTCCTATCGTGGCCCTCAGCCTGTGGCCCCGTGCCCCCAGCTCTGCTCCCAGATGTCCTGTTAGAGTGCTTTTTGTTTGTTTATCCTATGGCAGGAACACCACGCTATTAAAATACCCATTTAGTCATCTCCTCTTCCTTATGCCGATGAATCAGGCGGCTGCGTTTTCCAGAGCCTTGGCAAAATCACATCCAGAATGATGTCGGCAAGGCCAGGAAGCAAGACCACCTCCCAGAAAACGCTCCTCATCGAGGCGGCAGCACCTTCGGGGAGTTACGCAGCTGGGCGTCTGCAGAAAGATCACACTAGCGGACAGTTTAGGCGGAGTGGGCACGATGTGGCTGGCAGCAGGCCCACAAAGCCCCCTTTCACAAACAGACGTTATCCTTGGTGTTTAGAGAAGGGAGTGTGCTGAGGTCCAGCAGTTACCTCACTCGGGAGGTGTTTATCTTCGGCAGGAACACTTGGTTTGGCGTTAGAGGGGAAGTGTCTCAGACCCGCTCTCTCCGGCCCGGCCCAGCTCGCCACGGCGCTCCTGCTTTCTGACACCCACCAGGTTATCCACGATTCTCCCGGTCCTGCCTCCATGACGCCCATCCGTAGCTTTTAGCCGAGCAGGCCATCAGTTATAATCTGGCGGAAGGCCCTTTTGAGGACGGCCCGGCTCTATCCTCGCACTGTCTCCGACCGAGAAGTAAACTTAGACGTCCCGTCTTGGCTCGCGCTGGCCGAAAACACACAGCTGTGTTTAACAGAGACAAGCCCGGAAGAACGATGGACGTTGCGAGTGACTCGTTTGAAGCAATGAGCCTTTCTGTCTACCCAAAGCTGGCGTTGCAGTGTGCAGCCTTGTTTAACATTACTTCAAAGATACCCTTTGGAGTCTGAGTTGTTGACAGCTGGAGCATAATGAACTGGAGGAAGGTCTGTGTCAGTCCTATTCTCACATTAAAACAGAAGTGTAGCTCAGCAGGTTAGGATCCCATGTCTGCGACCAGAAGGTTGTTGGTTCAAATCCCAGGAGCGGCTGAGTGATGTCACCACTGGTCCCCTGAGCAAGGCCCTTAACCCCCAATCGCTCCAGCAACTGGCTGTCCCTGCTTTTTCAAAATGTACGTCTCTTTGGATAAAAGTGTCTGCTAAATAAGTGGTGGGTTGATTTTAAGAAACGACTGAACACTGGATTGGCTTTTAACTCCACTTGAAGGGGATAGCTTGTCTGCACACATACCGGTGCACACAGCACCTCGCTATCCCATGATGCCGCTCCCCGTCCTGCCTCCTGCAGCTTTGTGTATTATCTGATTATCTTCTTGTTATTGTTGGTTATTTTTATACGTGGTGATGCTTTCATTCAGAGCAGCCTAAGTTTTGCTCTGCTGCACCTCGCTGGATGTTTTCCAACAGTTGAGTAACTTGGTGGCGCGACTTGCCAAGATTCAGGTCGAGTGACTTTATCGGGGCGACAGGGCCACTCCTAGAACTGGAACCGTCAGCTTCCAGGTTACAAGGCCGTGTCCTTAATAGCCTCACCACCTGCTCCTCGCATAAATACCTGTTACGCCTCCACAGAATCAAAACAAAAGCAATCATGTTGTAACAACTTGTATTTGCTCACCTTATGCTGCAGTATTCTTTCTATTCGAACCCTGATTCCTTGTTGTCATCCCTTATATACCTCATTTAAAATAATTATTGCAATTATATTACAATGCTTAAAGGGGGCTAATACTGTACCTTTGTCAATCCTAAAATAACTTTTGTTGTGAAAAAACCACCAGCTAACCCAATGCATTCCCCCCACCAGGAGGTGGCGCTGTGCAGGCAAATCCCCATGGAGTCAGACAACATGGCCCAGACAGCAGCCACCATCAACACAGCACCTATCAACCAGGCCGCCGTGCACAACAATGGCTCTGACCCATTCCTTAACAGGCAAGAGTCTTCTCGTTCCTCCTCCCACCGGAACTTTAGATTGCTAGTGTTTAATGCACGTTAACTATGAGAATACTTTCAGGTTCAGAGTGGGAATTTCCCTCTGAATGCTAAGAAGGGAAACATTTATTAGCTAAAAGGCTTCCTGGAAGCTACAGAGCTATAATACAGGCCTGCTAATTACACTGAGTGTCAGTTTGTGTAATAAGCGAATTAATACTTTGGCTGCAGTACCTCTCTGGCGAATCTAACTCTGGAAATCTAACATCAGATGAAACGTTTGCCTGTTGGTGTGGGAGGGGAGGGCTGTTCGTGATGTTCGCACTGAGGAGCTAGGATAGTTAACGGGTTTGTTAGTTGGACAATTAGTTGATCAGCTTTTGGCAGCTAAGCACCACCCGCGTTAGGTGTGTGTTGTGCCTGATGCATGATTTATTGTTAGTGAGGTTCTTACCATGTCACAGTGCTGTGTAAATAAGGAGAACTGAGGAAAGTGCTGTTTGTTCCTGGATCTTCAGTGGGCCCTATCACTCCCGGGAGCAGAGCACGGACAGCGGACTAGGCCTCGGCTGTTATAGCGTGCCCACCACCCCAGAGGACTTCCTCAACAACTTGGAGGAAATGGACACAGGTACTACCACCTTAACCAGGGCACAGAGTGACCAGTGTCACCGCACCATTCCACACGCGTGAGTTTCTTTGCAGCGGAAGTAGTAAGAGGTGCAGCTGAGTCTCTAGGTCCATTCTATGGACAATTTAAGAGCAGAGTTACATTATACAGTGTGGCAGAGTAGGAATTTGTGACATTAAATGGTCATAAACCGACTGCTTGCATGCAATATTACTTGGAGTTGGGTTGTAGGTCCGGTTAAGGGCTCAGTAGCTCAGCTCCCCTCTTACACCTTGAGGCTCTATACCCCTATGTATCTTTGTATCTAACAGTATACTTGTTGATATTATATAATTGTCAACTGACGGCATATTATGGAATTAGACTGTAACACCAGGATGCTAGATTGTTAATGTTTTTGCTGTTTTAATGAGGATATTAGTATTATTCATTGTCTGTTCACACATCTTCCAGTTGCTTATCCAGTATAGTGTTACATGGTGTTAGTCTGGTTATTGGGTATAGGACCCATGTCTAAGTGTCGATTTGCCCTCTGCAGGAGAGACCCTGGCCCAAGGCAACATGGCGGTGCCACAGCAGACCCGATTCCCCGACTTCCTGGACTCACTGCCCGGCACAAACGTGGACCTGGGCACGCTGGAGGGGGCCGATCTCATCCCCATCCTCAACGATGTGGAGTCGGTGCTGAACAAGAATGAGCCCTTCTTGACTTGGCTGTAGGGGTGTGGGTAGCGGGGGGCAGGGGGACTGGAGCAGGGAGTCGGGCAGCAAAAAAACTATATATATATATATATATATATATATATATATATATATATACACACTTCCCATTTGGCTTTCTTTATTCTTAATTTAGCCATCGCTTGTTCTTGTCAGGATGCCTCATTGTCACAGACAAACCCTTTTGTGTTTGAAAGGAACAACTAACCTTTCTCAGTCGGGCCCTTGGGGACTGCCAGATGTTCCACGTTTTTGCTCCCACCCGGCTCTGTACCAGACAGTCCACATTTTTTTGGGAGGCAGCAAAGACGTGCACTGTCTGGGTTTTTCGAGGACCGGATTGACTAACCAAAGGTAACAAAACCAGCCAAAAAATAAATTATGTATGTAAAGATGAAAACGCAGTGAATCAGAGCGAATGCTGGTAGCACAAAGCTTTTTGCACTCGCAGGAGAGCGCTTCTCGTCTGCTTTAGCATCAGCACTCCGCTTTTCTGAGGGATATGACCAGTCTGGGCAGCTGTGGTTCTGTCCGTGCGCCGGGCAGCCGCAGAATGGAGGTGTGGATTTCTGTTGGCCACTAGGTGGAGCCAGCGCTTCTGTCAGCAGCATCGATCAGAATGAGTGAGGGTTTGCTGCTGGCGTCGGAGCCGTTGGCCTTTAAGGGGGCAGCTGTGTGCCTCACGCGTTTTACGAGGGCTGACGCTCGCTGTGGACTCTAACCCACAACCTCCTGGAGCTTCAGCCGCGAACCTTTCAGCAGCTTCCAAATTTTTCAGCAAAAGTAACTTTAGTGGCATCTTCTTCACAGTTATGCCAAATAATTATGATCTTTTTGTGCACAGATTCAAAAATGAACGCCTTCGGAGTCAACTGTAAGCTTTCAGTTGACGTTTACAGTTTTTGCAAGTATTTTAATAGTTTTATCGGTTTATAAACACACACAAATACCTGACTGTTTCAGCGCTACAGTTCTTGCCTCCATTATGCAGGATAACAAACATTTATCTTGTGTTGTGTTTTATGTAACACTACAGTATTCATTTTTATATACTGTACAATTGTTCCAATTGATTCAATCTGATTAGTAGCCTTTTTTAATTTTAATATGCATTTAAGTATTTATCAAGCTATGATTGTTTTTTTTTCTAACATAGAATTTTAATACATTTGAATTTCAAAGCACTACAAACCAGCAATGTTTTGAAATATTTTTTATTCCAATATTCATGTTGAGCTCGTGGTAGTGATTTAAAAATGGAAATGCTCCCTAATTCACTTTTTTCCAAACATGTATCGTGTGTTTTTTATAATGGCAAATCACACCTCAACCTTTTGTTGTCTGTTTGGGAAATAGCACCCAAAAGCGGGCACCTCTGATAAATCTTTCTTGCAGGGAATATGGAAAAAAAAAATGTATTTTGTATCAGTTTTGAAAATATGCATAAATGTAAAAGTAGTCTTTTGGAGTTTCAAGATGGAAAGTTCCTAACTTGTGGGTTCAGAGTTGGTCGGAGTCGGTCGTGTAATTCTGTTGGTTTTTATGGCATGATAACTACGTACTTGCTAGTTACAGGGGCCTGTTTCACAAAGCAGGATTACTTGCTTAGCCAGATAACTTGCCAGATTTAAGGTAGTCTGGGTTAAATGTAAATTGATGAAAATATGGTCTATTTAGCCCAGACTACCTTAAATCTGGCAAGTTATCTGGCTAAGCAAGAAATCCTGCTTTGTGAAACAAAAGGCCCCAGGTCTAGTCCATTTGTTTATCAAGACCATACTGCGTTAGTTTTCTTTAGAATGGAAGGAGTAAGAAGGCAGTCTTGTGAAAGGAATGAACGGTAGATATAAAGAGGAGCGATTGTATGTATGTATGTAGGTTATGTGTATCTTTGGTTATTGGTTGACTTAATGCTCATGATGTCCTAACGGCACACTAAACGGGAGCTGAATTAGGTTGAAGAACGATGTAGAGGACCCACTGTAAGGCTATGTTCTGCCCAAAACAAAAATAAATGCCAACCTTAGCAGCTCTGATCCCAGGTCAGCGCTAGGCTTGCCCTGAAAGGGCTAGGGGCAAAAGGTGCGGCCGTCGATCTGATCCCAGATCAGTGACCTTGGGAAATGAAGGGAGGCAATGTGCATCTAAGGTGCAAGAGAGGGTTTGCCTAAATGCCATTCCCATCGCCAGCATTTATTACTCTACTAATGAACTGTTGAGAAGCAATTAAAACAGAGTGAAGGGACCTTAGCAGCAAATGAAATGCAGTGAGGTGTGAAATATAAATTTCTTTGGGACTGAAACATTTCTGAAAATGAGCGATTTGTAAATGTTTCCAAAACAAAGTACTCATAAATTAAGAAGGCACTTTGGAGATGTAAGGTGAGCATCTAGTGGGAAGCGACTTGGTTTGGATGTGACTGTAGAGTAAGCTGAATGGGCTTTGGGGTTTCTCTGCATGGAAAGAGTACAGTGCCAAGGATCGGCTTTGGGTATGTGAATGTTGACGGTATGCTGGTGATTCACACGTTAACAGGGACTGGAAATCTGGAAGCAAAGTGAAGTTCACTTAAAAGAATGTAACCTCACAGAGTCCTAAATGGATTTTTTAAGCTCATGTAACTTCTGTTAAACCTTAATAAAACTCTTTCAGTGCCACGCCTGTTTATTTTATCCATCCATCCATCCGCCCATCTATCCATCCATCTTTAATCAACATCCTGTAGAATCATAGTCTTTCACTTATATATATATATATATATATATATATATATATATTTATTATTATGTTTGTGGGTAGTATATTTCATTGTACATGTAACACATTTCAAAGAATATCATTTTAATCAAAAACACATTCCAGTAATAACTAAATAAACAGTGATATACAGAGTTAATTGTAAATATACAGTGGTTGCACCTACGGGATACGTACCTGTATGTTTTATAATCGCAAACAGAAATAATAAACATCTTGGTATAATGTCAGTTGTATGCCCTTCTGTATCTGTGGCCTAAGTAAATATTGAGTGTATATTCAGGAAAGCCGTGCTTAACCGATTAAACAAAGGTGAATTTAACAGCAGCCTCCTCCTTAAGTCATCCTGGCATTATCGCTACAGGCGGCTAGCACTAGATACACCTCCCAGCTAAAAGTGCACATCATCATTGTAAACGGAGCGTTTAAAACGCAGTCCCGGACAGCTATTATCTGGATATTAGAAGCGTACTACTTGAGTGGCAATTTCTAACTGCCTGTGTTATACCATTTAAAGTTCATATAAAATTGAATAATATGTACCTCAAATCCATGTTTACAACGAATCTTTAATCATTCTCTGAGTAAGATCTAATATAAGTAATAATTATTCTTAATTACTGTACTAGATATATATGTGGCAATAACTCACACGCGAAAAGAGGATTAATAATACATGCGTGCATAATGTTCATTATGTGATGATTAGCCTATTATCATGCAGCGATACTGCAAGGGATCGCATCAACGTGATATTTGCATGCTTACATGCAGAGGCGTATGAATTGAAACAAAAGCCTTACACCACATGAGCAGGTTACGTGTGACGGGACGGGCATAACTCGGTGAATGAAGTGTGTAACACGAGCATTATTCTTCAAAACACTCCCGCACATTGGGAAACAATCTATTGTGCGAGTCGTTGAATCGGAGAGCACGTGAGAATCCCGTAATCGCAGAGTTATGTGATTGGTCGCGTTTCCATGTGCGGTTTTCATGCGCGTACTGCCTGCAAATAAAACACACTTAGAACGTTCTACTGCATGCTGTGAGTGCCTGGAGTGCATTAACAGTTTTTTGTTTGTAATGTTATGGGAAGAAAGACTGGGAATGTTGTTGCTGGTTCCCATAAGTGCTTTGATAATGTGCACGTTGGTGGTTGCAGAGGAAGTCCGAAAACCTGGAGTTGTGCCCTTGTTTCAGCCTATTGAAGCTTCTAAAGGCAATGATTCCAGCAGTCACGTGACCTATGGAAGAATTATTCTGGAGCACTCCAGAACAACTGAAGATGGTGATTATATTACTCAAAATGGGGAGAGACTTCATGGAAAGACTCCTGATGTGGCTGAATATGATTATCAGTCTGATTTTGGTGAGCAATGGTTGATCTGTAATCCTCCTATAGCCAAGAAGCTTAGTTTCCTGGCTTGAGTTGAAGATGCCCTGTTTTAGATTGGCGTCACTTGGAGAAACTGCAGGAGGAGGCTTCCAGCTCTTTTGGTCCTCGTGGTCCGGCTGTTGAATCACTGCTTCAGATGAAGCCGATGGTGGAGTGTGGGGCTGACATCATGACCCTCCGTGTCAAAGGTGGCTCGCTGCTGTATCTCCTAGTAGACCGAGGTATGTCAGCCTAATCACGTCATGGGCTTCTGCTTGGTAAGTCTGGTGGTGAAGTGTGTACTTCAGTTCTGAATGCTGCCCCTCTTGTATGCTGTAGGGGAAGCTTCCCCCCTACCCCTGTCAAACCTGCCCCCACAGTGTGGCTACTCTCTGAGGACCACCTGGAGGGACACCGTGTTTATGGCACCCTATGATGGTTGCTATGGTGTAAAAGAGGTATTCATGAAGCCAATGGCATTGATCTTTGTACTTCTGCACCCCCCCCCCCGATATTAATGTTGCTCATGGATTGGGTTTTTCCTTAGGGTGACAACTATGTTCTACCGTTGCGTTGGGGTGGTACCCCCCTGAAAATGACCTGTCCTGCTCGGCCGCATGTTGCTACTTCCCCCTCTGTCTCCTGCCATCCTTCTGGCATGGTGGTGACTATTCCTGGCAGTGGTGACGCTAGCAAGCTCATGATCATGTGTAAGTTCATAACTAAACCGGTGCCAGTAGTACCGGTGACCCACAGTCTTATCACTTGGCCAAGCCTCTGGCTTTTGATGGATGTATCTATTCCCCTAGCATACCTGTGAACTCCTGGTGGGTGTTTTAATGGTAGACGACATGATCAGTGAACCTCAAGTTGGTGCCTAATGTCAACCATTTAATTCCTGTGTAGCTATGACATAGAAATGGTGTTCCCCTTTTACATGTGGGGTCTTCCTTTCAGATAATGGAGCCTGGAATCCCTTGCTGTGGGTGTCTGTGCAGTGTGGGTATAGTGTGGTGACTCATTCTGGGGGACTTGTGGTCACTGCCCCTTTTGCAACATGTGGGGAAATCAAGGTATGCATGTGCTCCTTGTCCAATATACAAGACTGCTGCTTTAGCCTTGCCATGTAATTACTCTACAAATAGGTTAGCTTGGTAATTCTGGCTAAACTACATCCACATGTGTTGGTGCACTGGGCTTCCTAAACTAAACTTATGATCATGTGCAATGCTTAAGGTTATGGAACTAACTTCATGACATGGCTCCCCACTAAACCCCTTCCCTCACAGGATGGGATGTACACCCTGGAATTCATGGAAGGAAAAGTCAAACTCTCCTGCCCTTCACAGCCTCTGACTGGCTCTCCTTCTGTTTCACCTCCACCTTCTCCCAAGCCTTCACAGACCACTGTCTCTTATCTCAAACTTGCCATCATGACTCCCAGTGAGCCCTACTTTACACCTCCCCCTCAAACAGTCACTCCGGCTTCTGCTCCAGTGACCTTTAAGTTGCAGAGACCTGTATCCTGGCACCTTATGGTTCCTCGCCCTCATCTGCCCACTCATGCCCCTGTACCCCCCAAACCAGTTACTCATACTGTCTATAAGCCCCTACCCACTAGGCCTGTACCCCCATCCCATAAACATCCAACTCCTCCTGCTGCTCACCCCCATGTCCCACATCTTTGGAATACTAACAATCCCCTCATTCCTGTCTATCCCCCTTTCCCCTTTCCTCCAAAATCTGCCCTTAAAACTCCTGCCCCTGTCATCCCTAAGCTTGCTCCTCCTTTTCCTGGCCTCCCTACTCCTGTCGTCCCTAAGCTTGCTCCTCCTTTTCCTGGCCTCCCTACTCCTGTCGTCCCTAAGCTTGCTCCTCCTTTTCCTGGCCTCCCTACTCCTGTCGTCCCTAAGCTTGCTCCTCCTTTCCCTGGCCTCCCTCACACACCTCACAAAATACCCTGGCATTTTAATCTGTTTCAAACTCCTGTTCCCTCCCACCCTCACTTCTACCCCAGACCACCAAAACCAACTCCCCAAATCCCCATTTTCCTCAGGCCTCCTCCACAAATGACTCCTCACCCTCTCTCTGACCCCCTGTACACTCCCATCCCTAAACCAGTTGCACACCATCCAGTCCATGGTTCTCCTGCTCATCCCCATCACACTGATCTCTTCTACCCTTCCCTCCCTAAACCCCCAGTTCTGCCTCCTGTGGTCCCTCCACCAGTTAGACCTGTTGGTCCTGCAGTTCCTTGTATCTTTCCACCATGTCCCTGGCTTCCTGTGTTCCACAACCATATGTACTTCAATCTAGGCTCTCACTTCATAGACTGTGCTCAGACACACCCAGGTAAGCCATCCACTTTCCCCAACTTCATGTTGCCATATCACAGTAGGCACCATAACCTACAGGAATCCTCAGTGTCCCCAAGAAGGCATTATGACAATCATGGTCCAGCTTCTCAACCATTCCATTCTTGGGACCTAGTTGTTCCATTCTCTAAACCCTCAAGCCATATGGAGACCAAGCACAGGGGCTCACCTCCCCAACCCTACAACCCCAGTTTCTATTGGAACCCAGCCCACCCAAAACCTCCAGAGCTCAAACAGACTTCTTACCCCCAAAATTCTGAGCCTGTGCTGGATGAGCATTCTGGCAGCCGTTCTGCAGCAACCAGTCTTTCTGTCTCACTTGGATCAAGATAATCCTTGACAGCCACTTAACACGGTAAGTGGCTTTAGCTTTTGCTCTTCTGGGGCCTAATCTTTGGGCTGTTGTGTGGCTAATGTGATTGTCTTTGCAGGACTTGGAATGCAGTGCTTCATGTTCACCTGTAGAACTCGATTGTCAACTTGTGATTTGTCTAATAAACATTTAAAAAAAAAAAAGTGCTTTGGTTGTTTAAATGGGGAATGAGGGTCCTAAACTTTTCCTTCCCCCTTGTGGGGGGGGGGGTCAGTTGTGAAAACAAGATTCTAAGGATTGAGTCACCTCATTTAATGTGGCAAACTTGGATGCATGTTATGATTTTGCAGAATCATTGGGCTAGTTAGACCACTAGTGCTACTATGTTTCAGCTTGTGTATCCTACAGTGTCATTTACTCCAGTTTACACAACATACTGTGTAGCCCCTGTGTAAATGGAGCTCTGCTGCAACATGTTCAAGTCTTGCCTGAATCTGTTCCCCCCCCCCCCCCGCCTTGGCTTCTACCAATTGAAAGCCTTAGTGCTGACTATCCCCAAAATGGTTCCAAACCTTCAAATAGATGAGGTTAGTTTTGCCATAGTTGAGTGGACCTGTCTTCTCTACATGTAATTGGAATGGGAACAACTAGGTAAGATCTATTCCCTTGATCAGCTATTTTTTTTTTTAACAATTCAGTGTTTCATTACTCTAATGCAGGGGTAGCCAATCTTATCCGCAAAGGGCCAGTGTATATGGGTTTTCACTGCAACTCCCTAATTAGATCACTAATTAGAGGACTGATTGGCTGAGTCCTTACACCTGGGTTTGAACAGCTGACCTGCAGGTTATCCCAAAAACCCACATACACACCGGCCCTTTGCGGATAAGATTGGCTACCCCTGCTCTAATGCATTGTGAACTTTGCCCATCAGATGTTAAGGGTCTCCTTACTGGGCCAAACTGACCATTGGGGCGGTGGAATGTACCTCCAACATTGTAGGGGATCCCTCCTGTCCTTGCCATGGACTCTGCCCCTTCCTATCTGGCAAAAGCTACAGGAATGTCTGACCCAGGCTGTGTATCTTCCCCAAGCCTGTCAGGGCCTCCTATTGGTTCCTGCCCACCTGTCTAAACCTGAAGGATGTTGTAACCCTCCCACTCTGGTCACTTTAAGCACCTTCCTGCTCCTGTATGATTTGGTGAAATCCTACATTGTCTCATTTCATGTTTCTGTCATGTATTTAAAATGTCCTGTATATGCATTGCATGTTAGTCAGACAGGCTGTTGTCTGCAGTGTGTTCAGCCTCCTGTCATTCACCATCCCATTTGCACAAACCCCATACATGAAACCCCCCTTGTAGTGGGGGGGGGGACTTTTTCTCATAACACTGTAACCCCCCCCCCCCCCCCGTGGATTGTATGACAACCCCACTTGTATACCTAATGTACATTGCCTTTATTAATCCAAACTATATCTTGTAGAACATCTTTATATACCTTCTCTAAGCTGTTCTGTTAGATTATGAGTTTATACATAAATTTGCTTTCTTTGAATCAGCTCTTTAATAGCCCTTTTGAATATTATTAATGGTTTTTCTCTGTATGAGCATATGAATAGAGCTTTCATGAATCATTTGGCTGTCATGCGATTTTTCTGGGTTAGGTTTGCTCCATGTCAGATGTTGGGTAGGGTGTTATACCAAAAACATTAGAGGCATGAAGCCATTTGGTTTTGAAAAGGTAGAGGTTTATTTATGGATTAGAAGCGTTTTTGGTAATTAGTGCAGGTAAGCAGTGTTTCAGGGCTGAGTATTAACTGAAACTCAATATTTATACCTCTAAATGAAAATAAGAAAATACTCTGTAAATGTGTGTATATATATATATATATTCGCTATCAAAAAACTTAAACCCTCTGTGATTGTGCTGGTACAATAAGCCAACTTGTAGTGTCTCTCTAAAGATGTTCATCAGCCAGATCCCTAGGGGCAAGAAAAAAAAGCAGTTAGTTTTATGCCAAGCCATAATTGAACACAAGGGCCAAAAATGGCAGTCATCTTTAAGGCAGTGATGAGAGGAACATCTGCAAGATTTCCTTTCCAAATGGAGGTCTTGTACATGTCTGGCTAGCGTACTGCTTTTAATTCATCTTAAGTCTCAAATGACACCCCCACCCCCAATAAAAAAAAGGCCTATCTTTCTAGCACTGAGTGTGTCACGCTCAGGGCCGGCCTAAGGCGCCATATAAATTAAGCAGCCACTGGCCACCAGGGGGCCCCCTGTCGGATCAACTTGTCAGAATGGGAGAGAATGTGATTTGGCCACACTCAAAAGTATATAGGTGATTGGTGGGTAGCCCTTGTCATTTGTGGTCCCTCTACAGCACCCCCTGCTGGTGAGGGGCCCTCACCCCGCAGCAGTCTCCACAGATGGTTCCGATGAGGCCGTTGATGGTCTGCATTGCACACAGCGCCACCTGCACGATGCCCGTCACCAGCAGCAGGGAGAACAGGGTGAGGTGCCAGGACACGATGCCGTCTGGACTCTCGCACGAGTCCCATGACGAGTGGTTACTCAGGTAGTTGCTGTGGGGGGGGGTGACACGTGCGGAGCAGAGAGCAGCATGAAGGAGTAAAGGGGGCAGTTCAGTGAGGGGTCGGACTAGTGCATCCTCACGCAAAACGGCACACATTGCCTGATTAAACTCCGAGAAAGGAAAGATGGATGAGTGGAAAAAGTTGGGTGAAACCCAGTCCAAGGTTGAGTAAATATCCATCTCTATAAAAGCCCAAACGATATGTAAAACTTTCTTTACTCTCCTGACAGAATGGTGTGTACCGGGATACCAAATATCAGCTGAAGGTAAACACCTGCAGAATAAGCTGCGTTTTGATAACGTTTATAACCCTTTATTAACTTTCTGGGCAGTAAAAGTCACCGCCTGGCTAAGCAGCGCATGCAAATCACCACGCAGCCGGAATCGTTATCAGACGTAGCCAGAATCATTACCGTCACATTATGTTACAGCTTATTAACATTTGCTTATGATTTCTTTGTTAATCATAAAAAGTAAAGAAACGTGTGGCTGGCTGCCAGGTTTTATATTTATATTTTTGTATATTTTAAACAAGACTGCGATAAAAAAAATAAAATAAAATAAAGAATCAGCGAGGCACCAAGCATATCGTGAACAAAAGAGAATGGGGCCGTTTTCTATTACTGCCAAGTCTTGTTTAACATAAAAATCAATGGCATGGAGGGAAATGGACGCAGGGTCCCTTACCCATTGCTGAACGGGTAGGTCCAGTTGTGTGATGCTGTGGCACATTTCGGCCCTTGGTTTATGGCCACAGAGGAGACTATTACAGAGTACCCCGCCCCTAGGATGCCCACCGCAGCAAAGATGATGGAAGTAAACATCTACAGGAGGTGAAGAGGGGGTGGGAGGAAAATATACAAGAAATAAGGTCACTGAGAAGGTCAACTGCAGGGACCCCTGCAACGCCTCTATTCTACAGGACTGATTTATTCATTCCGGAACTTTCCACAGTAACGCCAGCATACGCGCGGCTTACCGCAAAGCGCTTCCCGCAGCTCTCGTTGCCACAGCAACCGCAGCAGTCGTTGTTCTTCAGGCCCAGGAAGACGAGGGCTGGGAAGATCATCTGGAAGAGTGGAGCTCGAGTGGGTCACCGCGTTCCAAACCGGCTCCCGTGTGACACGGCCTGCTTATCACTCAGAAACGTCACAGGCTCCGAGCCGTCAAGGCCAAATACCACGATCGTTCCTCTTTTAATTTCCCCATCATTTCAATTTCCCTAAATATTGGCCCGACCACGCTGGCATCAATGGAAGTCAAAAAGCAATCTAGAAGTAGTTCAGGTCAATTGTCCAAATAAATAATTGCAGCTATCATTAATATGTTCACCTATATAACAAACTGAATGATTATTAGTCACTGATGACCGTGTATAATATTTATAATTATATATTCTTTATATATTGTACAAAATGCACTGATACCACAAAAGATGAGTCTGTTACTGGTTAGAATAGTTGGTAACACTTTACTTGAAGCAGTAATCACAATGCACAATACCTTCGTAACTACATCTATTATGTATTATAACTGCTCTATGAAGCTCTTATCTATAATGCACTACAGATACCTTCATAATGCATTATAAAGGTCAGTATAAGCAATTATAATGCATAATGAAGGTATCTATAGTGAATTATATATGACGGCTTCATGAAGCATTCACAATGCATAATAAACATGCCTATAATGTGTTATGCCTTTTCATAAATAGTTATAGCCATTTCTATAATACTTTATGAATGCATAATAATGCATTATGAAGGTATCTATAATGCATTATACATTAGCGCTTTAAGTAAAGTGCTTTACTGCTTTAAGTGAAGTGTTACTGAATAGTTTTAGAAAAGATTTAATCAAACCAAAGAAAAGTAGTTTCACAGGATGCTCGCAAGTGATCTGCTCACCAGAAATCCTGAGCCAATAATGCCGCCTAAGTAAAAGACCTCATCGGTGATGTGTGTGCTGTCGTCGGCAGGTACGCCGCCGGGAAAGAAGAGCAGGATGTTGCAGAGGATGCAGAGGACAGCCAGCGGGATGAGGCTGATCCCAAGGCATTTGGCAAAGCCGCCGGTGCACATGGTTCGACGAGTCCTGCGCTGCTCGCGAAGCCAGGATGTTCTGGGGATGGTCACCTGGGCAGGATGGGCCTTATAAAGCCACAGTCATGTGATGTCGTTCATTCAATCTTAATGATCAACCCAGTCTCCCTCTGTGGCAGGTGGCTAGTTATCTTGGTTAATCTTCTACTAAGTTTGTTGCATCTGTCAAGCCATTGTATGGTTAATATTCACAATACCAAAAAGCTGGAATCCCCAGAGCTTGGTTGCAAAATCCCTGCGTGGAGCCCAATAGGATGCTTTTGACTTATAGCTTGTTTAAAAATCATAGTATCACAGTTTTCTGTTAGCTGAACCAATCACATTAACAAAACACTTCGTTTGTTTGATGAAGACTTGCTACACTGGCCCTGCAGAAACCGGAAATCTTCCTGTATTTTAATATTTAAATATACGACAATCCTATTTCTCCATCTTGCATATTTACGTAAATGGATAAATGTCTTGCCTTGAACCATTGCAGCAGTTCTACGCTGAAAATCTGTTTTATTTTATCTATCTATCTATCTATCTATCTATCTATCTATTTACTTATTAGTTTGTTCTTTAATGTGTTTATCAGTTGTAAGCTGTCGAATCCAGAGCTGTATGTAGTATACCACATATATTGCTAAGAAACAGAATAGACTAAGTAGAGTATTCCTTGCTAATCCGTATTGTTTTACAAACAAAAGTTAGGGTGATGTCATGGATGATGTCTCCTGAATATTTATGAATTGTTGACTTAAAAATGCCTAATACACACACAATGGGAGGTGCAATTCGTGAATTTCAATGTGCCTGAATTTGGTAACTGCTGTTGTATGTTTAAATGTGTTTTAATGTGTGTCTAACATCCTGAGATTATGTCTCCTGAATAAGAGCTTCCTGATTTGGAAAATGTTTTTTTTTCCAACAGTCTGGCTGAGATAAACTGACTCATATCCACTATGGTGTTTTTACCAAGATCCACCCAGTAGTCTGTGGGGGAGAGACTGGATATTATGCTTGGCTTCAGTCTTATTAGTCTGCTGCTGCTTTTCTGCACCTGTACAGTGACTTGGTGGGCTATCCCTCTGTGCCTGTAATCAGGAGGTTGCTGGTTTGAGGCCCAGCCTCGACAGAATAATAACATATCTATGGGCCCCTGAAAAAGGCCCTTAAAGCCCAGCTGCCTGCATGAACCCTCCTGTGTTCAGGATCCCTTTCGCACCTTTGTGATATGACTCACTTAAAGTGGTGTTAAGTCAAAATCTCACCATGACTCCTGTTTCTAAAGGCATGGTGTGATGTGATTAAGGGGCCGCTAGAGATTTTTGGCCCCATGAAAGCATTATATCATATTGTCACTCAAAGACCCTTGAAATCATCCCACCTTTCCCCTCCTTTACAGCACCCCTGCATGAAATGTGACGATCACTTTAAAAAGGTTAGTAATTTAAGTGTGTGAATGTA